TACCAGACTCCTGGGGTCTGTGTGTTGACTCTGTGCCTCTTGCCCCCCTTAATTGGCAGGGGACCTGATCCAAGTTAGGGTCTTCACAGCTGGCCTGAGGAGAATCCGCAATGCCCCAGCCCAGGGCTGCCAGATGTTTTGCTAGGCTATGCCAACAGGGAACCCAATAAAACCTCAATTTTGTGTTCCACCCAAAAATATAATGAATGAATGGGGGCATGCTTGAGAATTAACATATGAAAGTACTAAAGGTAAGCATACCCATCTCCACTGCACACAGTGAGCTTGGGTGAATGAAATATTCTAGCACTAGGAATGAAAAGGCCAGGCCAAATGTTCTGTTAAGATTACAGTGGAGCCAAGAAACCATTTTTAATAAAATCATGGGTGGGGCTGGGCTTGAGGACACAGCTCCAAGGTTGGACTTCCAGCAAGACAGCTTCATCAGCACAGTTCCAGGAGGAAGACAGTTCCAAGAGATATCTAGGGTAGTGAGCATCCTCCGAGTTCAGAGCCACTCTTTAAAACTAAATGTAAGAGTTAGGCTGTTTGTTCATGTAATTGTAATGTTGGTGTAGTAACACTGAAAAACTCAGGTCGTCAGGCTGTATATCAGGTGCCTTTACCTGCTGAACCATCTCACTGGCTTCCCATATTTACTTCTTCTTGTGTCTCTGTAAGCATGGATACCATAAACTACAAACCATTCATTTCCTGAGGCTCAGTTCTCTGTGTGCCTGGCACAGCCCCACAGACATGAAGACTTACTCCAGTCTACACACTACTTAACCTCTGAGCAGGAGCCCCAATGCCTAACTTCCTCAGAAAGCCTGTCTGTCAGTATCACTGCTTCATCCAGTAGTTTCCTGCTTGTTCACTAACTATAGAGAAGGCATAACCTGGGGCAACATGGTGCTGTGTACTATAGCACTTTCTAGTTTGTTTATCCTTGGGTACTCACCTTTAGCCCTACAACATCCTGCACAGTTCTCTTGACATTCCCTAGTTGGCATTCTCTATATTATTAAACTTTCATACATAGACAAGTGGAAGTGTTTGTCTTTAAGATGAATCTCAATCAAAGTATTGTTTTTAGACATTATTTTATTAAGCAAATATTATTGAGTATCTACAATGTGATCAGTGAGCAAAACAAAATTTCCATCCTTAAGGAACATGTATTCTCTGTCAAAAAGCTGAGTCTGGACAACAGTTAAATAGTGTAATGTGTTTCTTTGGCTCTAGAAGAAAGAAGGTGCACTTTCAGCCCTCATAAGGCTAGGCTTGGAGATCAAACTCCCTCCCAACTTTTCATTGAATTAAAGAAGGTGGTTTAAGGGCTGGAGAGATGGCTCAGTGGTTAAGAGCACTGGCTGCTCTAGCAGAGGACTTGGGTTTGGTTCCAATAGCTACAAGATGGCCAAAAACAGTTCTTAACTTCAGTTCCAGGGGAATCCAACACCATCTTCTACTCTCCATGGGCACTGCACATATTTTCCCCAAATGTTTTTATTGTGACCTTTGTAGTCCTATTTTTAAGTCAAGGTAATGTGACCTTTTTAACCTATTTTAAATCAAATGGCTTATGAGTGAGCTTGTTTTACATGCTCATTATGATAAATATTCTCCATATGAAATGTCCTATTCTTATAGCCTGGTGCTTAGCTCTGCTTTTAGTTTTCTGATGTGAGTGGCAGCTTTCACTGGCTATATATTACTATGAGTTCAAGATTCAACATTCAGCTCCTTTCAGCTTAGCAGAGAATTTGAAATCCTGAAAAGCACATGTGATTTCAGGTATCTGGCCTTGAACCTTATTATTTCTTAACTATAGCAGTGCAAAGTAATCTTATTACACTTTTTAAGAAAATAACGTGTTTCTTGAAGCTCATGATGTGCTAATTGATCTCAGCATTTCTGTATGTTTCTATGGGTCAGTCAGAGATACCAAACCAAAAACTAATTGGGATAAGTGAATTTGTATTGGAAATCCAATAATATTCAGAGTTCAGATGCACACTAGAGCATAAACATTCTGAAAATGAAGAAAGGAAAAATGTGTCTAGAGCAACCTCTTCAACTTCTTCAAATTCCATATAAGAATAACCATATAAGAATCTAATTACACTATAAATGTTTCATAGTCTTCTATCAGGTCTCCCACCAAGATAATAAATACTAACCAGAGAAAAATTTAAACCCTAAAACACTGAAAAGTCAACTTTTTGAAACACATCAATATAAAATGGAGCTAAAGGCTAGAAAGTAAAGAGCTGCATTAAGAAATAAAAGTAACAAGAGAGATGGCTCAGAGATTAAGAGCACTGGCTGCTTTTCTAGAGAACACCAGTTCAGTTCTCAGCACCCATATGGCAGCTAACAACCATCCATAACTCCAGTTCCAGGAGATCCAATGCCCTTTTTTGGCCTCTATGGGCATTACACAATATGGGTAAACATATCCATGCAAGTGAAACTTTCATACACATAAAATAAGGATAAAAATTAAATTTTCAAAAAGTAACAAAACAAATACTAAAGGAACCCTGATAGTTACTTCTGTTTTACATAGGTATATTCAACATTGAATGTTGAACAGGTTTATGAAATGCAAGTCTGTGATAGTTCAAAACTGGAAGAATCTGTGCTATGCTATAAGGGGAGCTCATTATGCTAAAAGAAAAAAAATGTGATTGCTCCTTAAATGAAATACAATTTCTACTTTATTGTTTTAATTCATTAAAAGTTTGCTATTGTTTGTTATAATAGTGGCACTCAATCACAGAAATTCATTAGAACTTCCTAAAGAACTTTTTGAAATTACCAGTGTGCAGACCTATCCCACATAGACTCTTCAGTATGGGTGTCTGGGCATTTGTATTTTTTAAAAAATCTCACATACTGAGTGGTGGAACTCTAGGAACATCCAGTGTACATCATGTTGGGTAGTGGAAGGAGTTCCCCACTATCCCCATTCTTGATTCCCAATAACCTTTCAGATAGCCCAGTTAGAGATATTGCTATATCCTTTCATATCCTTTTTTTGAGTAATTTTTTCCCAATCCAAGAATTTTTTATTAACTTAAAAAAGGAAGTCAATAAGGTACATGCATAATTTGAAGAACAGCTATTATCATCATCACTCAATTCAGAATGATAAGCATTGTTACCCGGGATCCTAGAAGACTTACCTATTTCAATCACAATCTCGTTCACCTCTCTGGAGTAAACCACTATTCTAATTTTTATGATTATCATTTACTTGGTTTTCTTTACAATTTTACCACTACTGTCTGAATCAACCATGGTACTATGTCTTTGAGTCTGCTTTTCAACTTTGTTCATGTGGATTCATATCAGGTACATTTGTATTTGATTTCCTTCAGTCAGTATTATATTGCATTGCATTATGTAGAAACATCTCCAGAGAATGTCAAACTACTCCAAAACTTACACTAATCCACACCCCCCCACCAGTAGGATGTTTCCAATACGTACCATCCTCATCTCACTTGTTCTTGTCAGACTTTATTTTATTCAATCTGGAAGTTGTGCACTGCAACCCTTGTGATTTAAATTGGCCAGTGCTGATATCAAATGAGGACAAAGGTATTTTGTCTTACCAACCATGTGAATTTCCTCATTTGTGAATTGTTTATTGTGTTGATGTTTTATTGGCTTTCATAATTCTCTGACATCTAGGAATTCTGTAGACATTCTGTATCCTATGCCTTGGGCCATTAAGTGTTGCAACCATGTCTTTGTAATCTGAGACTTGTGTTTGCATTCTTCATCCGTTCTGACATATTAAATATGTAACTTTATTCATGTTCATCATTTTCCTTTACAGTTAAAGCTTTATTTTTTAATTTTTTAATTTTTATTTAAATGTTTTGCTGGCATGTATGTAAATGCACCCATGTCATGGAATGCCTGAGGAGGGAGAAAAGGGTGTGGGATCTCCTGGAATTGAAGTTACAAGTGTAACCATGTGGGTGCTGGGAACCAAATCTGGGTCCTCTGGAAGAGCAGCCAATGCTCTTAACCACTGAGCCATTTCTCCAACCCCATGCTTTGTCTTATTTTGAAAGTCCTTTTTGGAGCCAGAGAGATAGCTCAGTGTGCAAATCACTTGCTTCACAATCCTGGACACCTGAGTTTGATCCCTGGAACCATTAAAGGTAGATGGAGAGAACCAGCTGCATGAAGTTGTCCTCTGATTTCCACAAGCCTACCATGGCATGCATGCTCCCTCCACACAAAATTTTAAATCAAAAGTCCTTTCCTACTCCAATATTTTGAGGATATTCTGTTATTTTCTTGAAGTGTTATATACCTTTTTGTATTTCAATTTTTAGGAAACCTGCAACCAAATCTAGACACCAAAGTCTTTTTTGTTTTTTTTCAACAAATACTCAACTTAGAGCAGGAGGTATATCGGTCATTAGTAGAGTACTTGCCTACTATGTACAAGACCCCAAGTTCAATCCTCAGTAATACACCACTAAATAAATGAATGCAATTAGTTAAAAGGCCTATGTCAGAACCATTTACTGACAAGTAGTTCTTCCTCCACTGCAGTTACTGCTATATCATTGCCATAAGTCAAGCTCCATATAGTGAAATGCTATTCTTTTTAAAATTTTTATTTTTATGTGTCTGAGCATTTTGCCTATATAAGTGTACCTGTGCATTCAGTGTTCACAGAGACCAGAAGAGGGAGTCAGAGACTCCGAAACTGGAGTTATGGATGGTTGTAGGCAGCAATGTGGGCACTGGGAACTGAACTGATGTCCTCTGCGAGAGCAGTCAGTGCTCTTAACCACTAAGCCCTCTCCCCAGTGTGAAATGCTATTCTATCTTAATAACTAAAGCTGTTAACCAAAGTCTCTCTCTCTCTCTCTCTCTCTCTCTCTCTCTCTCTCTCTCTCTCAGTCAGGTTAACCACACTCTGCCACTGAGCTACATCCCCAGTCCTACTGTGGTAAAGAATCTCTTACTTTGCCATCTGCAAGGAAGACAGTCCTGTCATGCCGTTCTTAAAGTGCCTTCACTGGCTCAGGGAGCTCTGTGAAAAGAGGGACCAAAGAAAGATATGAGAGACTGAGGATGGGATAAGAGCTGTAAAATATTGGCTTCTGGACATAACACGGCTGTTGCAAGCATTACCTCACAGCAGGTGTGGCTGCACAAGACTTTTACAAGATCAAGCCAGTCAAAATTCCAACATGGAGCCGGGAGTGGTGGTGCATGCCTGTAGTCCCAGCACTTGGGAGGCAGAGGCAGGTGGATCTCTGTGACGTCAAGGCCAGCCTGGTCTACATAGTGAGTTCCAGGACAGCTGGGGCTACAGGGAGACCGTGCTTCAAAAAGACAAAAAAAAAAAAAATTCTAATGTGGAAGTGGGAGGAGTCTTGAAGCCCCACCCCCACTGGGGGAGCTATTAGTAGTTGATGGCTGCTGAGGGAGGGTCACTCTTCCTTTGAGATATATTTGCTGGTAGGTTGCCTCAGTGGATAGCCACACACCAATGTGCATATGAGCAGCACTAATTGGACTTGGGACTATTAACAAAAATAATTTTAAAAGGACATGAAGCTGGGACAGAAATGAAGTAGAGAACAGTAGGAGGAGCTGAAGGGAGGTGATGGTGGATGGATATGATCAATACATATTGTATAAATGTACAGACCTTTCAAAGAGTAAAAAATATTCATGTCCTTATTTTAAGTCTTTAATATTGTTTTACACTTCTATATAAATTTTCAAGTAAACATCACTTAAGAAAAATATTGGGCTTTTTATACTGTATTGAAGCTATAAGACATTTGCAGACAAAGTAAGATATTTGCACTATTCAGTCTCCTAACCCTGAGTGCTTCTAAGTCTTCTTCGGCATCTTTATATATAAAACTTTACAGTTTCCTCCGGAGACTTTTTCAGCTTCTTTTACTAAATTGGTTTCTAAGTATTTGATATTTATTGACATAAAAATTTTCAAATTTGTGTGCTGTTTGTTGCCATTACATAGAAATGTATACAGCAAAATTTGCATCTAGCAAACATTAAACTCATTCATTCTAATAATTTATAGACTGAATTCTACATTAAAAATATCGGAAACTGTTAGTTTTGACTTGAAAAGAAGTGATGACAGACATCCTTGCCTTTCCCATTTCAAAAATAAAGTGCTCAATGATTCGTGTTTGCTGCAGACGTCTACAGAAAATCTCTAATTGGCTTGAAGTGCCCTTCTGCCTAATTTGAGAACATTTTTATCATGAACAAATGCTAAATGTTCAGCGAATGCTTTTTCCCACCTCTCAAGATGATCATGATTAAATCTCCCTTATTTTGTGGAGTATGAGAGTAATTGATTTTCTAACGTAAAACAGCTTTGGATTCCTGGCGTAAACCTGATCAGGCCATGATGAGTTGCCATTTGCTGGATTTGTCTCACTAACATTTAGCTTAGGATTTTGCATCCATGATACAAAGTGAAATTGGCCAATAAGTTTCATCTCTCATATTTCACTTGGTATCAAGTATTGGCTGCTGTGATAAAATGATTTAGGGAGTCTTCCTTTTTCTAGTCACTGGAAAAGCTATAGTTTGGAATTATTTATTTCTTGAATATTTGGCAATGCTCACCCAAAAAGTTACTTCTGCTTAAAAGTTCCCTTTTGGGAACACTGTAAACCTAGTAGCAACATTCTTTTGATAAACTTCATGTTCAAAACATGTGCCCACTTTTTCTGCATGTTATAAATTTATTGGCTGTAAGCTATTCATAAGATCATATATAGAATGCCACTGCAGAAGTAGTTGTTAGGTTTCTGGCAGTGCAGCTCCCATCATTATAAAACAGCAGGTTTGAACTTAGACTGGGGAAAGTCCCTGTTTCTCCTGAGCTAAACTGCCCAACCTATGTCATGGAAAGTTACCCAACAACCTACCTTCCTATAAAAGATGTCTGACTGCCCCTGCCCGCTGCTGTTTCTCTGCTCCCTGAGAGGCAGCCCAGTGATCTGTTTGCTCTGAAATAAACTGCTGCTCCCAATGGAGTTGTTGGGCCAGTGGCCTTCGCTGCTCAGCTTCACAGTTGTGTCCTCTTGTTCTTGCACAGGTTATGTGTCCTTGTTTGCTTTTTCTTTTTGTTTCTCAACATTTCCAGGGATCCATCACTATCCTTTTTTCAAACTATCCAACTGCAGTTATGTATTACTGTTCATGTACAAAATCTCTCATTTTTAACTGCATGAATCATCATTATTGTTCCATACGGTGAATGCACCTTTAGACTCACCGTCTCTACAAACTTCTTGGGGTTTTCATCCTTTTCTAACAATAGCAACATATATATATTTGAAACTTTCTCTTACTCAGAGTCTACAGGTGACACTATTACTCACATATTATTGTCTGAATATATAGTCTACCATCACAATTGAAGTTTAATTGGTATAAAATTTCAAGTTGAAGGTGTTTTTCTCTCAACAAAGTTGGATTAGTTGTTCAACTTGTTTCTGGTTTCCATTATTGCTGCTGCTGTGAAATCAGCTGAAGGTCAAGCTGGAAGACTTACTGTGCAGTAGTCACATCTGCCACACACTGCATTTTTAACTACTTGCAAGAGTCTGGTGAGAAAGAACTTTCACATACATGAAACTCACTCATCACTTATAGATAGGCAGCAAGGGTCATCAAAAGCCTAGGATTTATGACCAGTCAACCCAAGGCTCAGGAAAGATGCCCAGAGTGGGCTTTCACCTACACGTGCCCAGCTTTCATTGTATCTTGGTGCTCACTGTGAGGTTTACATCCTAGGGGTGACCTGATATGCTGAACTACAGTGTTGAACAACATCCTGTTCTAGGAGGGATAAAAATGGAGCCCAGGCTTTTTTGACCAGTCTTTCTCCTTATCCAGGATTTTGCATCAGTAGCACATTCCAAGCACAGTCATCTACAAATGAGAAAGCAGGAAGTGAGGGGTCACCTGACTGCTCAGGGACTTGCCATGCACCAGCTGATATTCTTTTGAAGGTTATCTGGGACTTGGCTGCCTCAACAAATTTTTGTCTTTAGCACTGTCTTTTAGTATGGTGTGACTAAGTGAAGAATTCATATGTTCTTGCTTAGGATAAATCTGTGGACTGGTTTTTATTTGAAAAAATTCTTAGTAATCAAATATTCCTCTGCCCCAATACCTACCTTAAACATTACGTATTTATACTGGACTGTTTGCTTTTCCACGAATTCTCAAGCTTTCATGTGCAGCCTTCTGGATAATTTGTCTTGTCCGAACTGCAGTAATTCTCATTTCAGGTCCCTCTAATCTTCTGTTAAGCTTGCCTATTAAGGTTTATTTTATTCTATTTTCATTTCTAGAAGTTCTGTCTTGTTCTCTTTCAAATATGCAATGCCTTTTTTCCTATATGATTTAAGCCACTTTTGTTGTAAACATGTTTTATATTGTACATGTGCTAATTACAGTATCTGATTATCTGGTATCTTTTTCTGTGGCCTTGTTTGTGGTTACTAGTTTACCTTGTGTTTATTTAAACTTGAGACATTCATTTTCCTAGCACAATTATCTTTGGCCCAGTTATTGTCCCAAATTTGGTTTACATCTATGAGAGACTTGCTGAGAGACTGCTTTCCGTGACTTTATAAAGTATTAAACTTTCTTTTAGCCACAAGTTGAATTAGTAATGGCCTTTAACTTTGCCCAAGTAAACTTTGCCTAAGCCCAGCCCTTAGGGTCCTGGCTTCATGGAAAAACAATCTTCTGCCTCTCCACTTCAGGTAGGCTCTAAGCTTTGCATTTCGCTCACAATGTTCCCAGGGACAATCAGAATCAAACCTGAAACTCACCCTCAAGGCAAAAGAAACTGTAGTACTTTCACTTGAAAATAGAACTTGTAATGCTAATTACTCTTGCCTTTACTTCTCCTTCACATCTATTCATGATTCAAGGACTTTATTTTCTCCTTAGAGATAAGAGTTATGCAATTTAGGTGTCTTTTAGATAGACCCACTGAAGGGGTACTCCAATTGCCTCACCCTGCATCCCTGTTAAGCATGGAAGAAGCCAGGGCGGTCTGAGTCCCGATTCACTATCGGTAATTTCGGTAACCCCTTCAGATGATGGCATGATAAGAATAGGAAGTAGGAATTGGCTACCTCCAGTTAGGGTAAAAGACCCCAAAGAAAAATAGCCAGTTTTTTGGCTAATAGTCAAAATGTCCTTGGGCCTCTTAGCAACATAGTCTTTTCCAAAGGCCAAATATGTCAAAAGTATTTTGGAGCTTGTATCTAATCCTTAAAAGATTTTAGGGTTACCTCTTCAGAGGGGGTAATATTAGAGTAGCCAAAAGCCCCATAAAAATAAATAAATCAAAGAGGCAGAAAGAGGACAGGAAGTTATCAGAAAAAAAGTGATGGGGAGATATGCTAGGAGCTGGTGGGAAGAGGGAGTGGGCTCAAAACACCTTACATGCATGTATGAAATTCTCAATAAAGTTTTTGCAAAAGTTAAAAAAAAAAAAAAAAGATAGGCTTTATAATTATTTAATCTCTTAGGACATGGTGTCTAAAACTCTTTTTCTATAACACCTAAAAGTTTTAGTTTTCATTAGGAAAGATGATGAGTTTTAGAAAGTCTGCCACATTACTGAATAGGAAATCTAACATTTTGTGAAAATTCTATGTATTTCAAAGCATCCTTTCTCATTTACTAATAATGCCAGAAAATTTCTTATGTCATTAAAACTTATGAACCAAAATTTAAATGGGCTTACTTGTGTGTCTGATATAGGTTGAGAGCTGGCTGGCCTAGGGTGGTTCACTATGCTTCACAGTCTCTGATCGGCTGTGGGGGCAGCCCAAGTGGCTACCCAGAGTTCACATGGCAGTAGGGCAGGTTTCCATTAACACTGACGGGGGTTTGCCAAGCTCTGAGGTCTAGACCCTAAATTTATTGTTTTAAGCAAATCAAGTACATGTTCATGTGAGTGTAGAAGTCAGAAGTCAACATTAATTATCTTCCTCTATTACTTTCCATTTTATTTATTTATTTATTTATTTACTTATTTATTTACTTCTTGAGATAAGGTGTTTCACTGAACCTAAAGTTCATTGACTCAGCTAGGCTGGCTGCCCAGCAAGTTCCAGGGATGCACCAGTCACTGCCTCCCCATCACTAGGATTAAAGGCATGCATTATCATACCTGTCTCTTATGTGAGTACCAAGGATCTAAACTTGGGTCCTCATGCTTGCATGGCAAACACTTTACCGACTAAGCCATCTATCTCTCTAGCCCAACTTTTGTGTTTGATAACTGTTGTATCCCCAATATCTAGTGTGTTGCCTGGATATGCAGGTTTTTAATATCTGTTTGATTTTTAAACTTGTAAGTCAACTTAATATTTTCATCTCTGTAGCCATTAGGCAATAAGCAAAATTATCAAAAACTGAATCAAAATTTTTCTTCAATTTTTCATTGTGAGTGACTCAAAAGAGGGCTTTTCAGGGGCTGGAGAGATGGCTCAGTGGTTAAGAACACTAGCTGTTCTTGCAGACGATCCAGGTTTGAATCCCAGCACCCACATGGCAGCTAACAACTGTCCATAACTCCAGTTCCAGGGATCCAACAGCTTCTTCTGTTCTTCACGGGCATTGCACTTACCTACATGCAGGCAATACACGCATACACATAAAATAATAATAAATAAAATAATTTTTTTTAAAAAGAGGGCTTTTCAAATAATCAGATACAGATTATTAAAGTAGAAATGATGAACCTTAAAGAATGACAATACAGCTACTAATAAACTTACTGGAAGTCTACATCTACCATTATCATAATATACTTAACTGATGAAGCTAAAAACAAGTTTTGAGGCTAGTGCTTGAATGGGACTAGAATTTAAACAAACATATACAAAAAAAAATTCTAAATTTGTCAATTTTAACAACTTTCTTTAGCAAAAAATTAAATTCCACATGGTCAAGTGTTGTTACTCCAAAGACACAGTATGCAGTTATGATCTTGAGCTGCATATCATTTACATCATCCAAATGTAAGTGAATACTTCATTAAGGTGGAAATGATCGATTTTAAAGAGCCAATGGTAGCTGAAGGAAGAGGTCATGAATTTAGTATGTCCTGTTAAGCTTTATTGTTATCAACATTTGGTTTTGTGGACTCCGTAATGCTAAACTGCCGATTAGGTTTAGTAGCTTCTTGCATCAGCTCCTGTAACTGTCCAATTTGCTCATCACGAAAGTCATTAAGCTTTTCTTCAGAGAGAGAGATGCCAAAACACGCTTTTTCAGTTGAATGTTGTCTATTGTCCTTATCTTGTTGCCATAACACTGCTGCATAAGCCTAACAAAAAACAGAGAGAAAAGGTAAGGTTGTAGATTTAAATAAGATTTATGTGGAGTAGTTGAAGAATTCTAATTCACAAGTCACCTACCTGTTCTTCTCCATCACTAAATTTTCTGCATTTATTTAAAAAGATACAAATAGTCATATATTTAGCCTTCAGAGATAATTTCAAATGTAACTTATTTTTATGATTCCTAAGGGCTTTTATAGACTTTTAGGAATGCTCTTAATCTGCAAATCAGTAGAGGGAACCCACAGGTAGGTTTTGGAAGCACATATGTGCCACCAGCCAAGACCATAACACACAACTAAACACATATAAATACATACTTGCTTCTGGGACCATAGCTTTCATCAGATTTTCAAAGGGGGATCATGGGTTCAAGCTCAAAAATGGGCCTCAAAATTCAGGAAGAAGTCTATTCCTTCATCTGCAATTAGAACCTTAAAACACCACACAAACAGAAACTTGAAATCTTTCGATATTTACTGATTATCCTTGTCAAGAATCAAATTTATGTTTTTCATGGTATAATTTTGCTCTAGTGTATTTTGGTTTAGTATTCTATCACTGCCTGCAATATCTTTTTTTAAAGTCTCTCCTTCTAAAAGTAATCTTTTGGTGTGCAGCTGCTGGTAGCTCGACCACGTTCCAGTGGATGGCCACACACCTGAGAGTATTTGGGTAGCACAAATTGGAATCAACGGGTTTAAAGTGAAAATAAACAAACAAAGTTGAGAGGGGGAGGGGGGATCTGGGAGGAATGATCAAAGTACTTGATATGAAATGCTCAAAGAATTAATTTAAAACAAAGATCTTTAATGAGGCAGGATATACTAACATTTTCCAGTTGATGAAGTTAAAGATATGATGCTCAAACTGGGCAAGTGAATGAACTGGTTAAATTTGAATGGTGCTGTCGCTTAACCTGGTGAGACAACTGAGCTGTTCATAGAATTATTTGAATAAACTCTTTCCTTTTAGATTACACAGAAGTGGCAGCAGATAAGGTAAGCAAGGAAGTACAGTTATTACAAGTAAGGTCTGTGTAGCAACATGAATGACTCTTTTGAAAAGACTATAAAGAGCAGGCTTAAAGAAGTACCTATTTCAAGAAATGGCAAGATTGATTCTTAAATTCACCAAAGTGTAAAGGGGGCTTGAATAGGGAAAATAAAACAGTTAAGACACCAATTTTCAAACTCATTACAAAAATACAGTAAATAAAACATGTGGTATTGGCACTAGGGTAGACATATCACACCAATAGCAACAGATGTAAGAGTCCAGAAATAAACCTTTAAAACTTGGCTCACTGATTTCTGACAAGTAATTTAAGTCTATCCAGTGGACTTAGAAAGGGGCAGCCAGTTAGGGTCTATTTTTTCCCATTTTCCATCTGAAGGAAGATGTCATTTGATGCTGAAAGAAGACTAGAATCTGGATAGTAATCTGTAGTGTCAGGAGAATCAGAAATGTGCAAAAACCATGGCAACTGGTAAGAGAAGCAGAAACAGCAGAAGGCAAGAGAGAGCTAACCAAAAGTGGTGCCTAAGTTCAGCAAACGAACTGCAGAAGTCACTGGCTACCTTTACCTATGCATACTGGATGAAGACTAGGTCCCTAGCAAGGGCAAAAAGAACAGAACAGATATTTCAGCTGCTTCCTGTCAAACAGAACACAGATTTTGGAATTTGAGTTCTAGCAAGTTAACTACTTGCTCAAATAAAACCACTACATGTTAGAAAAACATTGAAGAGTGTTTCAACAATGTATCCTTTAGCTGATCAAAATAATTAGCAAACTGATTTTTCTACTGTATAGCTTTTAGATTAAAAATGAATTATATTAGGTTCATTAGTTATAAGTGCTAGAAAAAAATTAAACCATTTCAAGGAATAACATAAAAGGAGAAACCACATGACCTTATATTTCCTGACTGAAGTACTTACCACCTATATATCAAAAATCAACAACTTATAAGCAATACAGGTATAACCCATACTTACACATACCCATGGGAGTACAATCAGCAAAATCCATATTATGAAAAACTACAAAACAACCTCTGGGGGTTGGAGGGATGGCTCAGCAGTTAAGAACGCTGGCTGCTCTTGCAGAGGACCTGGGTTTGAGTCCCAGCATTCACATGGTGGCTAATAATTGTCTGAAACTCCAGTTCCAGGGGATCCAACACCCTCTTTTGGCCTTCGTGAGTATTACAGACAAGTGATGCACTTACATACACGCAGATATTTACACACATAAAATATAATTTTTTAAATTAAAGTGTTCAATATCCTTTGCCATCATACAAATGCAAGTTAAAACTACTCTGAACTGGTGTGATGGCACACACCTTCAATGGTGACACTCAGGAGACAGAAACAGGTGGAGCTCTGTGAGATCAAGGCCAGCCTAGTTTACATTGTGAGTTCCAGGCCAGCTGGAGCTACTGGGAGATCCTGTCTCAAAACAAACAAACAAATAAACAAAAACTACTCTGAGATACATCTCACCCCAGTCAGAATGGCTATCATCAAGAAATCAAATGACAACAAATGCTGTTGAGAATATGGAGAACGGGAGACCCTTATTCACTGTTGGTGGGAGTGCAAAGTAGTACAGCACTGTAAAACTCAGCTTGGCGCCTCCTCAAAAAGCTAGAAATAGAACTACTATATGACCTAGCTATTCCAACTCCTGGGAATGTACCCAATGTACTCTGTACCCTATTTCAGAGACACTGGCTCACCCATGTTCATTTCCACTTTATTCACAATAGCTAGAAAATGGAATCTGTCTAGATGTCAATCAATGGATAATGAAAATGTGGCTCATATATACAATTGAATTTTATTGTTATAAAAGTGGAATTATGATATTTGCAGGTACATGGATAAAAATGAAAAAAGGAAAATACTGAGTGAGGTAGCCAACACACAAAAAACAAATACTGCATGTTTTCCCTCAAACATGGATCCTAGGTTCAAATCTCTAATTTTATGTGTTCAGCATGGAATACTTGTAAAAGCCTGGAAACTAGAGAGAACCAACTGGTGTAGGTATGCCCAAGGGAGGAGGGACCATAGAATGTAAGTAATATATGAAAGCAGAGAGGGGGACTATGGTGTGGAATACTTAAGCAGTGAAGAAGTGAGAGATAGGGACACAAAGGGACAACGGAGATGAAAATAAAAATGAAGGGGTGTGAAAAAGCCATGTGGAAACCTACTATCATATAATCGAATTAAAATAGAAAACTTATTTATTTAAAAAGGATTTGAAGAAAGATACCTTGCATGGTTGAAAGGCTGCTCATAGAAGCTGGGCAATTTAAAAAAAAAATAAAGGTATCAGGTGTAGGACACTGCCTATCAAATTATCAATCAGGGAGGCATAATATAGAAAAATCAAGCTGAAACTGGGCTGGAAGCTTCCTCCCTGCCAACTAACTTTCATAGTCCCAGAAGGTGCTATGCATACTGCTGAGGGAGAAAATGTATCAGCAGTATTCCCCAGCTGTGAGCCCTACAAACTGCAAGACTAGTCTGGTCAGCAAGATGTGCCCACTTGTGGGGCTAGAGAGTTGGCTCAGCAGTTAAGAGCACTGGCTGCTCTGGCAAAGGACCTGGGTTCAATTTCCAGCACCCACATTGTGGCTAACAACCATTTGTAACTCCAGTTTCTGTGGCTCCAACACCCTCTCCTGACCTCTGTGGGCATTGCATGACACAAGTGCACATTCATACATGCAGGCAATATACTCATACACATAAAATAATATTTTATTTATTATTTAATATTTATTTAAAATATTTTTATGTGCCCACCTGGAACGTATTGGCACTACTGTTATGGGGTGGGGAGTGCTAACCAAATACTCTCTGGATTTGAGGTCCAGTCCACAGAAGGGAATCCATGCATGGTACTGTGAACCTCGTCAAAAACTCACACCAAAAGAGATCATAGCGGGGAACTGAATACTACTGTTTAGTTAAATTGACGTAGTAATCATCTGCCTTTAAATATATATGTTTATACTCAGAGACAAATTCAGTCTTTTATCAGAGAAGTGTCTCTTTTTAGTGAACTGCAGTAAATACAAAACTCATGGCTGTACACAGTGAAGAATAAGTGATAGCTGAGTGCTCAGCTCTAAACAAGGCACTTACACCATCCCCTCTAAGGCTCAGGGAGCACTGGAGAAGAGAAGGAAAGCCAGAAAAATAAAGGATGTGAAATCCCATCTTTGGAGCATAGCCACTATAACTACAAACTCACAGCAGCTACAGGTACCTGCACTGGATCTGCACAAGAATGGGCCCATCCACAGTCAGGCATAAGTGGAGAAAGGGCTCAGGGAGTTCCACAACTTGCTGCTGAACTATTTGCTACTGATAGATTTTGAGAGAGGGAGTCACTGCCTTCAGCTGTGTAACCACTGGTGACCCCCACTAGGCTCCAATGGTCACACAGATGGGCTAGTTAAACTAGATGCGTCAAACAACAAACCCAAAAGTTATGAACTTGGGAAAGAGACTGGTAGAGATGGGGTTGGGGGTGATCTGTAGATGTGGGAAATAAATGAGGGCGAGGAGAAAAGAGTAATCAGAACACATTACATACATGTATGAAATTATCAAAGAACAAAATTAATAGGTATAAAAAAAATAGCAGCTGCCAAAACCTACACTGAAAGGTTTGCAGTTACATGATGTCAGAAATTCAGTAAGCAAAAAACATGGGGCCTGGGAGATGGCTTAGTGGTGCACAAGCATGAGGACTTGAGTGTGAGTCCCCAGCATCCATGTAAAAAGTCAGGTATGGCTACGCATAACCCCAGTGCTGTGGAGGCCAGAGACAGGAGGGTCACTGGAGCTTGCTCACCACTACCTCAACTGAACTGCTGTAGGTTAAAGCTACAGCAACAAATAAGGAGACTGAAACAGTAATAAAGCCTTGCAACTAAAAGAAGACCCGATCTAGATGGATT